GGTGTCATGCTGGAAAGTAAAACGGGGATAGTAATGGTCAGAGATGTGTCAGGATTGGGGTTGGGGTGGGTATGGAGTCTTACACAGAGGTGAATAAGGGAGTGGGGTGGGGGAGTCATACACAGAGGTTAGAGAAATGTATGTTACCAAGCATACACACAGTTTGTTGCTCAAATGAAATCACAGGTTCCATGGCATTTACCCTAGATATGATAAAGATGAGTTGTTGTTAACGTTAGGAGGTATATGTTACATTTCTATGGTTAACGGTCTCTATATAGGCCTTACTTCATAGGTCCAGCAGAAGAAGACCTATCGTACTCGAAGACACCAGGGTCGATTCTGTACCAGGATTATCTGAGATACTACCTAGCCTGTTTGTTGTGTACATTGTACAACAGACGTTATTACCTATTTATGGATATATTCATTGGAATGTACTTAAATATTGTGCTAATGTCGGCCTGCACAATATAATCTCAAACAACTATTGTCTTTCTGCTGTCAAATACACACATCATCAACATAATGATAAAAGGACCTGTCCAGTACGTAAGCTTTTGTTCCTCTCTGGAAATCTTATCACCACTGAACTCCATTCAGGGCATGGATTTCGCTAGGGCATCATTGGAGCGCTCTCATGTAGGAGTTAGTTAATTATGGATATGGTATGGAAAATTAGGCATAAAGAAGGTCATTATTTATTCAGTGTGGGGAGACTGTTATTTTCTGTATTGATCTGTAATGAATCCCTATGATACGTACACAAGCCTCCGAGATTGAGATTTCCCAGCTCGCAGTCGTAAGGCACAAACTGGGGTAGGCGTTGGCCGAGGAATGTTACACCACACCACTAGGTGGTGCTGCAGTGTTTATCAACAGTGATGCCAACTATGGGATACACTCCCAAGTTTATTGAGGTCAATTAAATGTTATTTAAATGTATAAGGGTAAAAGTTGATATGTCTTGATTAAAAACAGTAAAATCAGGCAATAAATAGACCTATTGTGTGTTTATACAGCACAATACTCATAAAATGGTGGGGTTGAAATCCTTCCAGTCTGTGTGTATATACTGTGTTTGTGTAAATAACTATGATACTGATCAACATGGGTTATAAAGCCCTATTTTCATTGAATGTTGCATTTTATGTTCATTTTGGAAAATCTTCTTTTTCCTGTAATGAGTTTATTTTAACAGCATATTTTCTTTTACAAAAAGGCACTCTGTGTTTGCAAGAAAGTAACAAAGAGATTCTCTGTAATAATAAAGAAAAAATACTCCAGCAGGAAGTAGTGCTATTGCAGTATCTAGAATTATCTTGCTGACATCTTGCTATTTTGGCCAGATAAGGGTTGTCATAGCATTATTGGTAGTTGTGGGTAAGTGTTGACTACCTGGTAAAAAGTACCAGAAGAATGTTACTAGTAACTGAGTGTGAGAGGGTACCAGAAGAATGTTACTAGTAACTGAGTGTGATAGGGTACCAGAAGAATGTTACTAGTAACTGAGTGTGAGAGTGTACCAGAAGAATGTTAATAGTAATTGAGTGTGAGATAGTACCAGAATAATGTAACTAGTAACTGAGTGTGAGAGGGTACCAGAAGAATGTTACTAGTAAATGAGTGTGAGAGGGTACCAGAAGAATGTTGCTAGTAACTGATTGTGAAAGGGTACCAGAAGAATGTTACTAGTAACGGATTGGGATAGGGTACCAGAAGAATGTTACTAGTAAATGAGTGTGAGAGGGTACCAGAAGAATGTTAATAGTAACTGAGTGTGATAGGGTACCAGAAGAATGTTACTAGTAACGGATTGGGATAGGGTACCAGAAGAATGTTACTAGTAATTGAGTGTGTGAGGGTACCAGAAGAATGTTACTAGTAATTGAGTGTGTGAGGGTACCAGAAGAATGTTACTAGTAACGGATTGGGATAGGGTACCAGAAGAATGTTACTAGTAATTGATTGTGATAGGGTACCAGAAGAATGTTACTAGTAATTGATTGTGATAGGGTACCAGAAGAATGTTACTAGTAACGGATTGGGATAGGGTACCAGAAGAATGTTACTAGTAACTGAGTGTGGGGGGGTACCAGAAGAATGTTACTAGTAACGGATTGGGATAGGGTACCAGAAGAATGTTACTAGTAAATGAGTGTGAGAGGGTACCAGAAGAATGTTACAAGTAATTGAGTGTGAGAGGGTACCAGAAGAATGTTAATAGTAACTGAGTGTGATAGGGTACCAGAAGAATGTTACTAGTAACTGAGGGTGAGAGGGTACCAGAAGAATGTTACTAGTAACTGATTGTGAGAGGGTACCAGAAGAATGTAACTAGTAACTGAGTGTGAGAGGGTACCAGAATAATGTTACTAGTAATTGAGTGTGAGAGGGTACCAGAAGAATGTTACTAGTAACTGAGTGTGAGAGGGTACCAGACCAATGTTACTAGTAACTGAGTGTGAGAGGGTTTTAGCCTGTGTACTGGTCAGAAACTGCTCATGCTCATGTATATAAAACATTAACGTGTATCAATTCTCTATTATTCTTTTCTTTTTATCTCTCATCAGACATCAAACCTGAAAACCTGCTGATCAGTAAACAAGATACCCTTAAGTTGTGTGACTTTGGTAAGTATTATGGGATGTTTAGTATGGAGATCATAAGGATGATTGTTGAAGTTCAAGCTAGGGCTACTTGATTGAGATTCATGCTGAAGGCTTATTGACTTGATTGAGATTGAGACTGAACTCAGGTTGTTTTAATTAGGTTAAGACTAAAAGCTGTATATACTTTCATGTGCTTTAGGCTGTAGGCCACTCAATTGAGCTAGGGTCAGAATAAAGGTTAATTAAAATTGATTGTGGTAGGTTGAAAGTTACTTGATTAAGGTATAGGCTGTAGGCTATGTGATTGAGGGTCAGACTAAGGCTACTTGATTTAGGTTTAGGCTGTAGGCTACGTGATTGATGGTTAGACTAAGGCTACTTGAATAAGGTTTAGGCTGTAGGCTATGTGATTGATGGTCAGACTAAGGCTACTTGATTTAGGTTAAGCTGTAGGCTATGTGATTGAGGGTCAGACTAAGGCTTCTTGATTTAGGTTTAGGCTGTAGGCTACGTGATTGATGGTTAGACTAAGGCTACTTGAATAAGGTTTAGGCTGTAGGCTATGTGATTGATGGTCAGACTAAGGCTACTTGATTTAGGTTAAGCTGTAGGCTATGTGATTGAGGGTCAGACTAAGGCTTCTTGATTAAGGTTACAACTGTAGGCTACATGATTGATGGCTAGACTAAGGCTACTTGATTTAGGTATAGGCTGTAGGCTATGTGATTGATGGTCAGACTAAGGCTACTTGATTTAGGTATAGGCTGTAGGCTATGTGATTGAGGGTCAGACTAAGGCTACTTGATTTAGGTTTAGGCTGTAGGCTACGTGATTGATGGTTAGACTAAGGCTACTTGAATAAGGTTTAGGCTGTAGGCTATGTGATTGATGGTCAGACTAAGGCTACTTGATTTAGGTTAAGCTGTAGGCTATGTGATTGAGGGTCAGACTAAGGCTTCTTGATTTAGGTTAAGGCTGTAGGCTATGTGATTGATGGTTAGACTAAGGCTACTTGAATAAGGTTTAGGCTGTAGGCTACATGATTGATGGTTAGACTAAGGCTACTTGATTTAGGTTTAGGCTGTAGGCTATGTGATTGATGGTCAGACTAAGGCAACTTGATTTAGGTTTAGGCTGTAGGCTATGTGATTGAGGGTCAGACTATGGCTACTTGATTAAGGTTTAGGCTGTAGGCTACATGATTGATGGTTAGACTAAGGCTACTTGAATAAGGTTTAGGCTGTAGGCTACATGATTGATGGCTAGACTAAGGCTACTTGATTTAGGTATAGGCTGTAGGCTATGTGATTGATGGTCAGACTAAGGCTACTTGATTTAGGTTAAGCTGTAGGCTATGTGATTGAGGGTCAGACTAATGCTACTTGATTAAGGTTTAGGCTGTAGGCTACATGATTGAGGGTCACACTAAGGCTACTTCATCAAGGTTTAGGCTGTAGGCTGCGACGTGATTGAGGGTCAGACTAAGGCTACTTGATTAAGGTTTAGGCTGTAGGCTGCGACATGATTGAGGGTCATACTAAGGCTACTTGATCAAGGTTTAGGCTGTAGACTACTTGATTGATGGTCAGAATAAAGGATAATTGATTAAGGTTTAGGCTGAGGGCTTCTTGCTCACATTGTCTATAATAAATACCATGACACTTCAGTTCTGTGTTATTCTATATAAGCTGTAACAGACCATAACATTTATATTTAACTCTTCATTTCTACTTTTCATATTTGGAACTGGAATTCCACATGGTGGATGTAGTATTGTTATAAGTAATCTTAATTTAATCAAATCTTTTTTATTCACAATTTAAACTAAATGGGAATAAAAAGGATTAAGAAAGAATATCAATAATATATAATACTGGTTCACCATATCTGTGAGATGTTCTAAAATGTGAGTTTAGCTTCTTAATCAAATCTCATTTGTGTTCAAGGTTTCGCCAGAAGTATTACAGGAGGTCTGGTTGGGGTATACACAGACTATGTGGCCACAAGGTGGTACAGGTCCCCGGAACTCCTCCTCGGGTAAGCATGGCTCCTTATCCCAGTCCAGTTGATGGTTATATAACTGCCCCGGGTAATTACCAGACAAAGTATCCTTGTTATCCATAAAAAGTGCAGTGTTCACTGTTAAATGTGTGTGTAAGATATATATAGAAAAAGGTAACTTTTGAAAAGTTAATTTTATAAAGTAACACTTAACAGTCTGTATTATTGGAACATTAATATATAAAAATAAGTATTAATGTTCAAAGTTATCTTTGTGGCACATGCAACCGTATCTGGAAATGTTCATTTTTTCCCCACATGACATATAATATGTGATGTCACTACTTAGACAATCTCCACAGCGAGGCTCACATGACTATATTTAGACACAGGATTATTCCCACAGTATTTACAAAAGCATTACAAATGCTCTTTGCTCACAATGATTTTTAATATACAATTTACAATAAATCGTTTCAGAAGTGATATTGTTCACAGTCTTGGAATATGACAGATATTAATGTAGTTTGTGATTTCTAGGTCGGCATACGGTAAATCGGTGGACATCTGGTCAATAGGCTGTATAATGGGAGAATTATGTGATGGTCAGCCTCTGTTCCCCGGCGAGAGTGAGATTGACCAACTCTATGTCATACAGAAGGTCATGGGACAGTTACCCTCGGAGCAGATGAACATGTTCTTCCACAACCCTCGCTTCTCAGGCCTAAAGGTAAGTAAACACATCAATTTATACCGTACTTGTCTAATGCTCATAAATCAAAAGGTCATTTCAACCGAATTTCAGGAAAGTGCTTAATACAAGAAAATCAGTTTTATAACTTTTGTTCATTCCTTTGCTAATTGGCAATAAAATATATCGAAACTAAAAAATATATATGTATATGTTTTACAACTGAATCATGTTTATTAGTAATTAAGTCATAAAATTACATGAGTCTGTAAGCTGTACTGTGGTATGATATATTTGATTTGCGGGAAAAAAAAGTTACCAAAACATTTGTTTTGACAAAGTGATAAAGAATCAAAATTTTCAAACTTTGAAAATGAAAACTCTTGTATTTACAGTTCCCATCAGTGACTAAACCTCAGATGCTACAGAAACGGTACCAGGGAGTTCTCAGTAGCGTCTACCTAGACTTCATGGAGGTAACATACATTATCATATATTTACCGGGAAGGTGGTGTCTTCATAATATATAATATTGTCACCTGCGGTCAAAATTGCTAAATCCTTTGGTGAAAAGTAAAGTTTAGACCTGTTCCAGCCCATCACAGGTATAAAACCACAGAAACAGGAAGGCCTTCAGTTTGAGAGTAAATGTCATTTGTCCCTGAATCGGTTTCTATCCCCTTGTATGATCTGTGATGTTTTACTCAGATAACCATGCTAACTATTTTTGATGTTGGTCTGACAATATCGATGTAATGTATCAACACAAAGATAAGATATGTGTTCCCCAATCTACACAACCCCCACTCCATTCACATTGCTAATTTCATTCTTTTGTCCTTTTCAAAGTTGTGTCCATCATCTGATGACCTCAGTAGTATTCATGGCTTCAAATGAAACCAGTTGTCATTATATGACCTAGCTGTTGTCATATAACTTAAGCTGTCATCATATGACATATTACTTCAGCTGTCATCATATGACATATTTCTTCAGCTGTCATCATATGAGATCAATTGACATCATATGACCTAGCTGTTGTCATATAACTTCTGATGTTGTCAATCATATGACCTTAGCTGTTGAGACAAAAAAATATAAAAAAAACTGATGTTGTCAATCATATGACCTTAGCTGTTGAGACAAAAAAATATAAAAAAAAATAATAAATCAGAAATTTTATATCCAGAAATAACCATGTCTACACTGGTCACCCTATAATCTGACTACTGAACTCTCTGTGCTCGACAGAACACGCTACAGCTTGATCCGACCGACCGGTTCCTCATAGAAGAATGTATAAACCACCAGGCCTTCCAGACAGAGCAGCTACTCAACCGTACACACAACATCCCCATCAAATACGCTCGCACTGGCAGCAGCAAGAAACGCAAGAAAGAGTTCCCTGACAGTAACATAGACAGGTAGGTGATAGAAGTCCCACAGTAACGAAGACAGGAAGGTGATAGAAGTCCCACAGTAACATATAGAGGTAAATGATAGAAGTCCCACAGTAACATAGACAGGAAAGTGATAGAAGTCCAACAGTAACATAGACAGGTAAGTGATAGACGTCCCACAGTAACATAGACAGGTAGGTGATAGAAGTCCAACAGTAACATAGACAGGTAGGTGATAGAACTCCCACAGTAACATAGACAGGTAGGTGATGGAAGTCCCACAGTAACATAGACAGGTAAGTGATAGACGTCCCACAGTAACATAGACAGGTAGGTGATGGAAGTCCCACAGTAACATAGACAGGTAAGTGAAAGAAGTCCAACAGTAACATAGACAGGTAAGTGATAGACGTCCCACAGTAACATAGACAGGTAAGTGATAGAATTCCCACAGGAACGAAGACAGGGAGGTGATAGAAGTCCCACAGTAACATATAGAGGTAAATGATAGAAGTCCCACAGTACCATAGACAGGTAAATGTTAGAAGTCCCACAGTAACATAGACAGGGAGGTGATAGAAGTCCCACAGTAACATAGATAGGCAGGGGATAGAAGTCCCACAGTAACATAGAGGGGTAAATGATAGAAGTCCCACAGTTACATAGATAGACAGGTAAGTGATAGAAGTCCCACAGTAACGAAGACAGGTAGGCGATAGAAGTCCCACAGTAACATAGAGAGGGAAATGATAGAAGTCCCACAGTTACATAGGCAGGTAAATGATAGAAGTCCCACAGTAATATAGACAGGTAAATGATAGAAGTCCCACAATAATATAGACAGGTAAATGATAGAAGTCCCACAGTAATATAGACAGGTAAATGATAGAAGTCCCACAGTAATATAGACAGGTAAATGATAGAAGTCCCACAATAATATAGACAGGTAAATGATAGAAGTCCCACAATAATATAGACAGGTAAATGATAGAAGTCCCACAATAATATAGACAGGTAAATGATAGAAGTCCCACAATAATATAGACAGGTAAATGATAGAAGTCCCACAGTAATATAGACAGGTAAATGATAGAAGTCCCACAGTAATATAGACAGGTAAATGATAGAAGTCCCACAATAATATAGACAGGTAAATGATAGAAGTCCCACAGTAACATAGACAGGTAAGTGATAGACGTCCCACAGTAACATAGACAGGTAAGTGAAAGAAGTCCAACAGTAACATAGACAGGTAAGTGATAGACGTCCCACAGTAACATAGACAGGTAGGTGATGGAAGTCCCACAGTAACATAGACAGGTATGTGATAGAAGTCCCACAGTAACATAGGCAGGTAAGTGATAGAACTCCCACAGTAACATAGAGAGGTAAATGAAAGAAGTCCCACAGTTACATAGACAGGTAAATGATAGAAGTCCCACAATAATATAGACAGGTAAATGATAGAAGTCCCACAGTAACATAGACAGGTAGGTGATAGAAGTCCCACAGTAACATAGATAGGTAGGTGATAGAAGTCCCACAGTAACATAGAGAGGTAAATGATAGAAGTCCCACAGTTACATAGACAGGTAAATGATAGAAGTCCCACAGTAACATAGACAGGTAGGTGATAGAAGTCCCACAGTAACATAGACAGGTAGGTGATAGAAGTCCCACAGTAACATAAACAGGTAGGTGATAGAAGTCCAACAGTAACATAGACAGGTAAGTGATAGAAGTCCCACAGTAACATAGACAGGGAGGTGATAGAAGTCCCACAGTAACATAGACAGGTGGGTGATAGAAGTCCCACAGTAACATAGACAGGTGGGTGATAGAAGTCCCACAGTAACATAGACAGGTAGGTGATAGAAGTCCCACAGTAACATAGACAGGTAAATGATAGAACTCCTAACAGTAACATAGAAATGATAGAACTCCTAACAGTAACATAGAAATGATAGAACTGCTAACAGTAACATAGACTGGTAAGTACTGAAACAATTCACCAACAGTTGCACATGGTGAATGTCTTGGTAGTATCATCATGGGACTCCCATGTTATACTTGTGTTTAATGTGAAGATCACTTCGAGTTTGACTACAACTCTACAATGTATGCTGCTGTCGACTAACAGCTGATATAAGAGTGACTGAAGCTCTAAAGAAACATACAAAAGGGCCTGTATTATAAATACTATTCCTCCAAGGGCACTTATATCCTCTGTGTAAACACTTAAAACAGTTGTCATCTCTGCACGCTAATTGGCTTAATTTTAGAAGGTTTTTTTCATAAGCATGATTTTCTTTTTCTGTTTGTTTTGGAAGTATAAAAAAAATAGAAATGTCTGATTGGATGCAATTATTACATTATTGATATTTGTAGTGAGAATTTAAAGAACCTCCACAAGAGTCGACCTGGTACGGGGGTGTCAGAGGAAGCTAAGCCATCCCAGGGCATGCCACAAGTCCAGCGAGTGATGGTTGCCATGGGAACTCAGGAGGAAAAGATGGACACTAGTGAGGACAATTATATACAGATGCCCGTCACTAGTAAATACCTCAAACAGGCTAAAAACTTGTCTAAAAGTAACGCGGACAAACTGGCCAGTCAGCAAGAGACAAATAAACAGCCAGCGCCACAGCCAGTGCAAAGGGAGGCGACTCGTACTGAGAAATATGACTCTCGCTCACGGACTCCAAAACCTGCATTAGATAGAGGGGATGCTAAAGGTCAGGATAGTGTTGGTCAGTTTGACCGGGAGAAAACTTTGGTGCTCGATAATGGATATAAGATAAGGATGACGACAGATAAATCCCCTGGTCAGGAGGAAAGCATGGTAAGGGGGGCGAGGCATAATAGTACTACAAGTGAACGAACTGTGGACACGAACAATAGGTCAGTGTCGAGAACTAGTCAAGATAGCCGACATCACAGCACGTTTGCTGATTTCCGCAACGCAAATGTGTTGGAGAGTGGGTTACAAAGTGAATCTACATTAACCACTGCCCATAGTCAAACCAGCTCATCTAACATTGACAGCACATCACCGCGCACAGAAGATCTAGACTCGCCCGGATTACATAGTGAATCAAAATACCTCAAGCGTAAAGACAATGCTAAAGTTGTGCCAGACTTATCAGGCGAGGGGAAGGTTGTAAAACAATCATACTCTAAGGAGAGTCTGTCAGATTCTCCGACTGCCACACCTCGCGAAACAAAGGGAAGCAATCCTCAGTATAAATCATCCACTTACACTGTCAACTTACAGGCGCCACATCATGCCCATAGTCAAGAGTCATCTGAAAATTCCAAAAGCCAATTTGGGAGTCCCCAGGTGGAGAGAAAAAAGGTCAGTTATTTAATACATTGGAAAAAAATTGTATAATTGTTGTAGTTCCTGTATGAATTTATATTGTGTACAATGGTTGTAGTTCCTGTATGAATTTATATTGTGTACAATGGTTGTAGTTCCTGTATGAGTTTATATTGTGTACAATGGTTGTAGTTCCTGTATGAATCAGTATTGTAAACAATGGTTGTAGTTCCTGTATGAATCAGTATTGTGTACAATGGTCATAGTTCCTGTATGAGTTTATATTGTGTATAATGGTTGTAGTTCCTGTATGAATTTATATTGTGTACAATGGTTGTAGTTCCTGTATGAGTTAGTATTGTGTACAATGGTTTTAGATCCTGTATGAGTTTATATTGTGTACAAAGGTTCCTGTATGAATCAGTATTGTGTACAATGGTTGTAGTTCCTGTATGAGTTTATATTGTGTACAATGGTTGTAGTTCCTGTATGAGTTTATATTGTGTACAATGGTTGTAGTTCCTGTATGAATCAGTATTGTGTACAATGGTTGTAGTTCCTGTATGAATCAGTATTGTGTACAATGGTTTTAGATCCTGTATGAGTTTATATTGTGTACAAAGGTTCCTGTATGAATCAGTATTGTGTACAATGGTTGTAGTTCCTGTATGAGTTTATATTGTGTACAATGGTTGTAGTTCCTGTATGAGTTTATATTGTGTACAATGGTTGTAGTTCCTGTATGAATCAGTATTGTGTACAATGGTTGTAGTTCCTGTATGAATCAGTATTGTGTACAATGGTTTTAGATCCTGTATGAGTTTATATTGTGTACAAAGGTTCCTGTATGAATCAGTATTGTGTACAATGGTTGTAGTTCCTGTATGAGTTTATATTGTGTACAATGGTTGTAGTTCCTGTATGAGTTTATATTGTGTACAATGGTTGTAGTTCCTGTATGAATCAGTATTGTGTACAATGGTTGTAGTTCCTGTATGAATCAGTATTGTGTACAATGGTTTTAGATCCTGTATGAGTTTATATTGTGTACAAAGGTTCCTGTATGAATCAGTATTGTGTACAATGGTTGTAGTTCCTGTATGAGTTTATATTGTGTACAATGGTTGTAGTTCCTGTATGAGTTTATATTGTGTACAATGGTTGTAGTTCCTGTATGAATCAGTATTGTGTACAATGGTTGTAGTTCCTGTATGAATCAGTATTGTGTACAATGGTTTTAGATCCTGTATGAGTTTATATTGTGTACAAAGGTTCCTGTATGAATCAGTATTGTGTACAATGGTTGTAGTTCCTGTATGAGTTTATATTGTGTACAATGGTTGTAGTTCCTGTATGAGTTTATATTGTGTACAATGGTTGTAGTTCCTGTATGAATCAGTATTGTGTACAATGGTTGTAGTTCCTGTATGAATCAGTATTGTGTACAATGGTTTTAGATCCTGTATGAGTTTATATTGTGTACAAAGGTTCCTGTATGAATCAGTATTGTGTACAATGGTTGTAGTTCCTGTATGAGTTTATATTGTGTACAATGGTTGTAGTTCCTGTATGAGTTTATATTGTGTACAATGGTTGTAGTTCCTGTATGAATCAGTATTGTGTACAATGGTTGTAGTTCCTGTATGAGTTTATATTGTGTACAATGGTTGTAGTTCCTGTATGAGTTTATATTGTGTACAATGGTTGTAGTTCCTGTATGAATCAGTATTGTGTACAATGGTTGTAGTTCCTGTATGAATCAGTATTGTGTACAATGGTTTTAGATCCTGTATGAGTTTATATTGTGTACAAAGGTTCCTGTATGAATCAGTATTGTGTACAATGGTTGTAGTTCCTGTATGAGTTTATATTGTGTACAATGGTTGTAGTTCCTGTATGAGTTTATATTGTGTACAATGGTTGTAGTTCCTGTATGAATCAGTATTGTGTACAATGGTTGTAGTTCCTGTATGAATCAGTATTGTGTACAATGGTTTTAGATCCTGTATGAGTTTATATTGTGTACAAAGGTTCCTGTATGAATCAGTATTGTGTACAATGGTTGTAGTTCCTGTATGAGTTTATATTGTGTACAATGGTTGTAGTTCCTGTATGAGTTTATATTGTGTACAATGGTTGTAGTTCCTGTATGAATCAGTATTGTGTACAATGGTTGTAGTTCCTGTATGAGTTTATATTGTGTACAATGGTTGTAGTTCCTGTATGAAACAGTATTGTGTATAATGGTTGTAGTTCCTGTATGAGTTTATATTGTGTATAATGGTTGTAGTTCCTGTATGAAACAGTATTGTGTATAATGGTTGTAGTTCCTGGATAAAGCTATGCAGGAGGAGCTAAAAAGGATCAAGTCGAGTACGCTTGGCCGCAAAAAGAGCCAGGACAAGATCCATCAAGGATCTTTTATACAGACAATCACAGACAAACTCTCCGACGCCAAAGTAAGTAGCACAATTTACTCTGACTCGACTGCTGAAGTCATCTATTTGGAGTTGATAGTCTGTAGTCCCACTCACTAGACGCTTTGTCAAGGTAAAAAATGATTTCCTCAATATACTTATTTCCTGTGATGTCTGCCTTTCTAGCTCCAGACAGCCGATTCCAAGTATAGGGAGAGCAGCTTTGTCAACTACAATGGAACAAACAAGGCTGTCAACAAACGAAACCGCAATCAATATTACGGTGAGTTGGTGTAGGAGGTGTTTACGCTACAGTTCATGCTCAGCACAAAAAATAAACCAAGTTCAGTTGTATTAATTTTAAAACTTAAGTCAATCATATGATTCCATTATCTTTTTGTAAATGGTTGTAAAGTTTTTGCATGTTTGTTAATATTTGTGTTTTGATTGTACAAATGTATACAAAGACAAATGTTATTTAAGAGAGCATGGTAAAGCTATATATATATAGCTAGCTGACAAAAGATTTCGTGATTTCTGACCTTTTGTATCCTTCAATTGAAAAATAAATTATACTTTAAAGTAGTAATAATCCGATATCTTAGGTTGGTCTGAATCTATTGTGAAATGTAAAATTCTCTATCAATCTGCATCTATACTGAACAAAAAAGAAACGCACAATTAAATTATGCAATCAATAGCCTATGATATTTTGGGAAATTTGTACAAAATTTTATATCAATATGAAGGGACAAGTCTACTCTTTACAATCCTGTAGAAGAAAAGTCTGTGTGACGTCACTCTTGTCATCAGTAGTTTCTCAAAGTGGGATACCCGCGAAAAACAAAATGACACTTCAGTACCTGGTGTGGGCACCTTTTGCACGAATCCATGCAAGGATTCTCCTATGCATTGAATTCATGAGAACATTTATTCGCCTTAAGGGAATGTTGTTCCATTCTTGTGTTAATGCTGCGATCAACTGGGCGCGGTTAGTTGGGGGGTTTGGACGTTTCCTAATACGCCTGTCCAGCTCATCCGACAGATGCTCAATGAGAGACAGGTCGGGGCTATATGGGGGCCATTCCAGAGGCTGAACGTTGTTTGCCGTGAGAAAATCACGACAGACTCTGGCAACATGTGGTCGAGCATTGTCTTGCTGGAAAATTAGGTTATGACATCTGAGAAGTGGAAGGACATGTGGTTGGAGGATGTGGTCTCTGTATAGAACGGCATTGAGGTTTTGATCCAGGACCACTAAGGGGGATTTTACTCCATGGGAGATGCCTCCCCAAACCATTACAGAAGTCCCACCCAATCTATCGCGTTCAACCAAGCATGCGTCGGCGAAACGCTCATCCAGTCTGCGATATACCCTTTTTCTTCAGTCTGAGCGATACAGACAGAATCTAGACTCATCGGTGAACATCACACGCCACCATCAACGCATCCCAAACCGATTTGGGCCATGTCTGCGCAATTGTGACAATCAAATCGCCCTGTCTTGTCGTGCGGACGTTACACGCAGAAGACCGCTCCTGGGACGATTGGAAACTAACCCAGTAGCACGGAAACGTGTATAGAGACGGTTAATTTTACACGGGCCAACACCAAACTACCGTGCGACAGCAGTTTGGTTATGGCCATCCATCAAAATTGCAATTGCTCTACCCCTCTGAATTTGCGTCAAGCGTGGCATCTCAGTCAATGGCAAAATCAAAATGCCAACGTGGAAAATAATGTGGCTGAACTTAGAGTATCCGTTGAGATTATTTGTTTGAAAAACTCCGGCTTGGCTTGACCACGCCACGTGATTTGGACTAAAGAAGCTCACTAAGTCACACAATGACATCGTCACGCTTGGCTGATTTTAGGGTAGATTGTTGAGAAGGGATCGAGAACATTCTTGATGTAATACATGACCAAATAATCCATTATTTCCTTACAACTAAGGTGTACTGCAGGGGGGAACTTTGTGCATTTCTTTATTGTTCAGTAAAGTCTGATTTAAAAAAACAATTTAAAAAAAAAGACAGTAGAACAAGAAATGTTGGTAAGTTTTCTCAGTATGTTAGTCTGTAAGAAGTAATGTTGGTAAGTTTTTCTCAGTATGTTAGTCTGTAAGAAGTAATGTTGGTAAGTTTTTCTCAGTATGTTAGTCTGTAAAATCCAATCATAAATACTCAAAACCACGTATTGCAGAACTGAACAATGTCAGTTTTGATAATTAGGTATTTAGCATGAGCTATCTTTCCATCCAAACCTAATGGTATATGCCTTACCACACAGAAGACGAGAAGACTTTGATAAGCATTCTGTCTACTGCCAGTCCGCGGCCATCCAGGACCGCTCACTCCACGCGGAAACCTCAGCCCAATATTGTCTTTCCTAGTTTAAGATACTTGCATGCTGAAGATTATGAGGAAGGGCAAAGCGATAATGAACACAGTAATATTTTTGGTCCCTTATTTACATTTTTTTTCTTTTTCTGGAGATAGCAATATCCCTGCTATTAATATAGATGTGCGTTTTGCTTACCTGAACAGTTATTTTATGATTAAGTTCTATTATTAAACCCTCCTTGTTTGGTATGTTGTAATGGCTTTATCGGTTCATCCTTGCTTCTGTTGGTGTAACCATTGCAATAAACTTGTGTAGCAGATATCATCTCTTGAGCCCCCAAATCATTCAAAGTCAGTTTATCTTTACTATGGTATGATAATGTTGTGTTCTATACCTGATTTGATCTTAGATGGTCATCTGTCAAGGTCAGAGGTCAGCTTCATGAATAACTTGTGATTTGAAAACATTTTGTACAAGATATCTCATGACACCCACAACATGTTTATATTTACAACACAGTATTGTAGGTTTATATTTAGAACACAGTATTGTAGGTTTTTATTTACAACACAGTTTTGTAGGTTTTTATTTACAACACAGTTTTGTAGGTTTATTTTTACAACACAGTTTTGTAGGTTTATTTTTACAACACAGTTTTGTAGGTTTATATTTAAAACACAGAATTGTTGGTTTATATATACAACACAGTATTGTTAGTTTATATTTACAACGTAGTTTTGTAGGTTTATATTTCCAACACAGTATTGTAGGTTTCTATTTACAACACAGTTTTGTAGGTTTTTATTTACAACACAGTATCGTTGGTTTATATTTAAAACACAGTATTGTTGGGTTGTATTTACAACACAGTTTTGTAGGTTTTTATTTACAACACAGTTTTGTAGGTTTATTTTTACAACACAGTTTTGTAGGTTTTTATTTACAACACAGTATTATAGGTTTATATTTACGACGCAGTATTGTAGGTTTTTATTTACAACACAGTTTTGTAGGTTTATTTTTACAACACAGTTTTGTAGGTTTTTATTTACAACACAGTTTTGTAGGTTTATATTTTCAACACAGTATTGTATGTTTATATTTACGACACAGTATTGTAGGTTTATTTTTACAACACAGTTTTGTAGGTTTTTATTTACAACACAGTTTTGTAGGTTTTTATTTACAACACAGTATTATTGATTTATATTTACAACATAGTATTGTAGGTTTATATGTACAACACAGTATTGGTGGTTTATAATTACAGCTCAGTATTGTAGGTTTATATTTTCAACACAGTATTGTATGTTTATATTTACGACGCAGTATTGTAGGTTTCTATTTACAACACAGTATCGTTGGTTTATATTTAAAACACAGTATTGTAGGTTTTTATTTACAACACAGTATTGTTGGTTTATATTTACAACACAGTATTGTTGGTTTATATTTACAACAAAGTTTTGTAGGTTTAAATTTACTTCTACACATGGTTTGGATTTGGTGGTCATTGGTCAGGGCTAATAGGTCAAAGCTGGTCAACTTGACCAACTTTTTAAATAAAAAGCTTGTTATCTTAGAGATATCTTGTGAACCCCTCAACAAATTTGGATTAAATTTACCTCTCGTATCATCAAGTTCAGTTTGCTATTTTTTTTGGTAATTTGTTAAGGTTAAAAGTTGAAAGATTACACTTCGGTACGTACTTTGGGCGTTGTCAGGTGAATCTATATATGAGCCCGTGTTTCCTTTGTTTTCATTTGTATAAAAGACTGGATAATTTCTATAAATTATATTTCATTTGTTCCTAAATGTGAGCCCCAGTTTGCAGTTTTTGCCTGTGTACTTTTAGTTTGTAACATTTCCATAGAATTTTTGAACCTCCTATTGTTTTTAAACCTTCTTTTAAACAATCTAGGTGATGGTAGTTTATTTTTCATATATTCCAAAGTGCTGTATGTTTGCCTCCCAGTAAATCATTGTGTAATAACTGTAATACTTATTTTATTGAAACTCAAATCATGCAAGTGACTATATCAAATAAAGCTAATCCATAATGATTTGGTAAAAGTTAGAACATGTTCGTTCTAAGTAAGGGAGGTAATCAGACATCCTGTTTTTATTTCATCATCCCTAATCCTAGTGTTGTTGTTTAGCTGGTAATTATTGAACATTCCTACTTCAAAATAAATACTTTTGAAAAATGATATGAATAGCAGTGTACCACATGATATTTCATAACAATCTTAACAAACGATGTAATATGTGTTAGCCATAGATATCAGCTGTTAGTTTTGAGGGTTATACATGTAATGGTGGACAAACAGAAGACACACCTACTTTTCCCTCCCCACCTCCTTCCTCTGTCTTACTTCACATTATTTTTACACATTGATCATGTGGAATTGGATCTACTCCAAACCCTACAATTCTACCCCATGTCTCACCCCTACCCCATGTCTCACCCCTACCCCAATCTGCTAATCCATCATAGCATAGATACCTGTCATAAGTTACAGCTGTGATCTCTAGTGGCCATACTAGGTAATGTGTAGTCAGAAGTCCTATGAGATAATGGGTAAATAAGGTAAAAGTCAGCTGACTTGCATGTAACTGTGCCATATTAGTGTACTGTACCAGTGTGATATGTTTAAAATGCATGTTACTGTATCTTGTTACTGTACCAAGTGAGTGTACTTTGTAAATGTACTAATAATTGTAAGTGTACTTCATAAATGTAATTTGTAAGTGTACTGTATCTGTGTGAAATAAATGTTGTATTATATTAACAGACGGAAGCATGACTGCACGAGAGCGTGCAGGTAGCTACAGCCCAACCCCAGGTATATTGACACGCCCCTTTGCGACCTTTGAACTACACTGTTTGGTTGTTTGTAGTTGTTGGTGTGTGTGTGGAGACCTTTGCACACTCAGTGTTTCTTGCTGTCTGTCAGCGTGCTTCCATTGATAACGGTTTTTAAAATCTGTCCTGGATAGTTTGCAATGCTTTGTTTGATGGCACTGTGACTCTTTGCACTATGTGTTGTTGTTTCCTGCCCTGCTTCCAGCAGCCTCGAGCTCTCAGGTTGTCCTGTGTTATCCTGATAGACAACGTAAACATATATATTGTATTATAATTCCCAGTGACACAAACACTCACTGATGTATATTAATAATCATATTGATAAATAAACACTATTAAACATGTAAATGGCCCCCTCCTACTTTGCTTTCTGTCTAGTGACATAAACATCTTTTTGTCAGCACTCTTGGGAAGTTCTGATAAATGTGCTGTGCTTCATATACCGTCTGTTCCTACTGTCAGATATCTACGTCTGTTACTGCAGTGTTAGCTTTGGTAGCATTCAGTAGAACCACCAGAACTAGATATCAAAGTGAGTGTGGGAGTTAAACACAATGACTACAGGTTATCTGAATGAGGGTAAGGAGAAGAAAACATTACTGATAGTTCCGATTTTGATGCCATTGAAAAATTTACATACTGAAATGACCTGCAATTAATCAACAAATTGACTGTATGACCCTCATTTTAATGCTGAAAACTTAAAAGATATGACAAAAACATCTCCAAAACTGCAGAAACTTCTGTTACTCCTGTAACAGCAGATAGAACATCGTTCCTGGACTGGAAGTTATTTATTGGAAATCACTTCTTTTTTAATTACTAACTTGGAGAGTTAGACCTGATCTGAACATTAAAGATCCCACAAATATTTGTTCAGACTCCTTCAAAGTTCTGTATCATTTCTTTGTTACAAATTAAAAATCACAGAAAAGTCCTTGGAAGTACACAAATGAAGCGATTTATGGTAGATATACTTCCACATGGTGTGTCTAGTCGGCCTGTGGCTTTATGATAGGTCAGCACTAGAATTGGGTCCTCAGCACAGCTTTTAGGCACGCAATTAAAACGCTTTACCTTGTAAGGGGCAAGGTCTGTACTGTTCTCAGCACAGCTTTTAGGCAAACAATTAAAACGCTTTACCTTGTAAGGGGCAAGGTCTGTACTATTCCAGAAATAAATATTTGTTAGCGGGACGAGGTGGGGGTTGGAAGAGGGGGCACTTACCCCACCAACTCACAATTATTTGTTTTCCTTGGAAACTACTTTACAAATGTCATATCAATTACAAGTGTCCCCTCCCACCAAACCACCCACTTCCCCGTGTCCCCTCCCACAAAAACACCCACTTCCCCGTGGCCCCTCCCACCAAACCACCCATTTCCCCGTGTCCCCTCCCACAAAAACACCCACTTCCCCGTGGCCCCTCCCACCAAACCACCCACTTCCCCGTACACCCTCCCACCAAACCACCCACTTCCCCGTGTCCCCTCCCACCAAACCACCCACTTCCCCTTCAACTCCTTTATTCATATCTGGAATAGTCCTTACAGGTTTTCCATTTTTGTCAACGTTCATACTTGTATGTACATTGATTGGTTGGTTGTTGTGTTATATCTTAAATGTATGCATTAATGAATTCATTTTACATTACCAGTACAATTTGAATGTGTGTATGACCATTATACTGTACTGATATAAATTTGATATGATATGAAATATGAAAAGTTTAACCTGTTACCTACTCAACCCATTCAGATCCCGGTAATTCCTGTGATCAGACAAACTGTTCGTTAATGATGTTCCGCAGTATTTTACTTATGTTTTATGCCAATCTGAAATGACATGTTTGTATCCTGTGAAAACAGCTATATTTATATTTATATATAATAATCATTTTGTCAGTGCCCGGGGAATTGTGAGGGTTTCCCTGTCTGTGTCATCATGTCACTATTGTGATTACATTACCTGTGCCGTACCTTGATTTGTAGAGCCCGGGGAATTGTGAGGGTTTCTCGGTCTGTGTCATCATGTCAGTATTGTGATTACATTACCTGTACCGTACCTTGATTTGTAGAGCCCGGGGAATTGTGAGGGTTTCCCTGTCTGTGTCATCATGTCAGTATTGTGACTACATTACCTGTACCGTACCTTTATTTGTAGAACCCGGGGAACTGTGAGGGTTTCCCTGTCTGTGTCATCATGTCAGTATAGCGATTATATTACCTGTACTGTACCTTGATCTGTAGAGCCCGGGGAATTGTGAGGGTTTCCCTGTCTGTGTCATCATGTCAGTATTGTGACTACATTACCTGTACTGTAACTTGATCTGTAGAGCCCGGGGAATTGTGAGGGTTTCCTGGTCTGTGTCATCATGTCAGTATAGTGACTACATTACCTGTACCGTACCTTGATCTTTAGAGCCCGGGGAACTGTGAGGGTTTCCCTGTCTGTGTCATCATGTCAGTATAGCGATTACATTACCTGTACTGTAACTTGATCTGTAGAGCCCGGGGAATTGTGAGGGTTTCCCTGTCTGTGTCATCATGTCAGTATAGCGATTACATTACCTGTACTGTACCTTGATCTGTAGAGCCCGGGGAATTGTGAGGGTTTCCCTGTATGTGTCATCATGTCAGTATTGTGATTACATTCCCTGTACCGTACCTTGATCTGTAGAGCCCGGGGAATTGTGAGGGGTTCCCTGTCTGTGTCATCATGTCAGTATTGTGACTACATTACCTGTACCGTACCTTGATCTTTAGAGCCCGGGGAACTGTGAGGGTTTCCCTGTCTGTGTCATCATGTCAGAATAGCGATTACATTACCTGTACTGTACCTTGATCTGTAGAGCCCGGGGAATTGTGAGGGTTTCCCTGTCTGTGTCATCATGTCAGTATTGTAATTACATTACCTGTACCGTACCTTGATTTGTAGAGCCCGGGGAACTGTGAGGGTTTCCCTGTCTGTGTCACCATGTCAGTATCGTAATTACATTACCTGTACCGTACCTCGATTTGTAGACCCCGGGGGATTGTGAGGGTTTCCCTGTCTGTATCATCATGTCAGTATTGTGATTATATTACGTGTACCGTACCTTGATTTGTAGCGCCCGGGGAACTGTGAGGGTTTCCCTGTCTGTTTCATCATGTCAGTATTGTGACTTCAATACCTGTACCGTACCTTGATTTGTGGAGCCCGGGGAACTGTGAGGGTTTCCCTGTCTGTTTCATCATGTCAGTATTGTGACTACATTACCTGCACCGTACCTTGATCTGTAGAGACCGGGGAATTGTGAGGGTTTCCCTCTCTGTGTCATCATGTCAGTATAGTAATTACATTACCTGTACCGTACCTGGATATGTAGAACTCACAGAAGCGTGAGGTTCTTTGTCTTATTTCTGTGTCCTCATGTCTTGTGATTGCCTTTCAGGCTCAGTGATGCTGAGTGTTGTTCAGTATTGTGACTACATTACCTGCACCGTACCTTGATCTGTAGAGCCGGGGGAATGGGGAGGGTTTCCCTGTCTGTGTCAACATGTCAGTATTGTGATTACATTTCCTGTACCGTACCTTGATCTGTCTGTGTCATCATGTCAGTATAGCGATTACATTACCTGTACTGTAACTTGATCTGTAGAGCCCGGGGAACTGTGCGGGTTTCCCTGTCTGTGTCATCGTGTCAGTATTGTGATTACATTACCTGTTCCGTACCTTGATCTGTAGAGCCGGGGGAATTGTGAGGGTTTCCCTGTCCGTATCATCATGTCAGTATAGTGATTACATTGACTGTACCGTACCTTGAGCTGTAGAGCCGGGGGAATTGTGCGGGCTTCCCTGTCTGCGTCATCATGTCAGTATTGTGATTACATTTCCTGTACCGTACCTTGATCTGGAGAGCCGGGGGAATTGTGAGGGTTTCCCTCTCTGTGTCATCATGTCAGTATTGAGACTACATTACCTGTACCGTACCTAGATCTGTAGAGCCTGGGGAATTGTGAGGGTTTCCCTCTCTGTGTCATCATGTCAGTATTATGACTACATTACCTGTACCGTTCCTTGATCTGTAGAGCCGGGGGAATTGTGCGGGCTTCCCTGTCTGCGTCATCATGTCAGTATTGTGAATACATTACCTGTACCGTACCTTGTTTTGTAGAGCCCGGGGAACTGTGAGGGGTTCCCTGTCTGTATCATCATGTCAGTATTGTGATTAGATTACCTGTACCGTACCTTGAGCTGTAGAGCCGGGGGAATTGTGAGGGGTTCCCTGTCTGTGTCATCATGGCAGTATTGTGACTACATTTCCTGTACCGTACCTTGATCTGGAGAGCCGGGGGAATTGTGAGGGGTTCCCTGTCTGTGTCATCATGTCACTATTGTGATTACATTACCTGTACCGTACCTTGATATGTAGAACTCACAGAAGAGTGAGGTTCTTTGTCTTATTTCTGTGTCCTCATGTCTTGTGATTGCATTTCAGGCTCAGTGATGCTGAGTGTTGTTGGTAATTATCACCATTGCTTCCTCTGCTGTAGACCTCATTTATCATAATCAAGGACACTTGGGAAAATCCTTTATACTCACTTACATAAAGGTATTGCATTGCTTGGGCAATCTACCTATACCAAAAAGTGTTTTCACTGAAAGGGATGCATTTGTAGGTCAGAATAGAACTTAATGTTACTGGCTGATATACTCCAGATGTATTCCTTTATCCAGGGATGCTTTTAATTTAAAATTTAGGTGGTAGCTTGTTTATGTAATTGATATTGTTTTTGTGATCATTTGTAAGTTTTGGGGTAGGCTTCAATGATATCATTCATAAACAAAACCTTCTGAAGGTTCTCTATTACTGGGAGTGATTGGTGTGAAATGTTTGAAGAACAAACTTTCAAATTTAATTAAAATTGTAATTGAAAAATGTTACCCATCCAGGTTATTGTTTTAACTCAACCTTTCTTAAATGTGTTAACATCTTATGCACTAGAGAAATGTTTAATCCTCTGAATGTTAGTATACATGCTGGCTCTACCCCTTTCAATATGAAGGATTTCCCAGAGTATGCCTGTGTAGCATGGTATTTTGAAACATGGTGAAATGACCAATGTATTACTTTGTCATGGGTTGTCTTGTTATGATGGACATTCTCCTCTCACCTCGTTCATTCTCCTAGAGAGCTGTTGTGCCAGTTACCTTTTGTTAATACTGGTACACACATAATCATAATTCTTATAATACATAGTAGGGGGGGGGGGGGGGGGGGGGGGGTTGGGAAGAAGTTCTTTCCTTCCTAATAGTAATTTTTGACCCTAGTAGCCCCTTTCCATGGGGATCAAAATACCATACTTCACTGGTCCTGTCCATGAATAAACATAATTATATACCCTATATATCACGTAGAATTTCTTTTGTTTCTGTAGTGTCAAATATGTGTTATTACATGTAGCTTCAACTGTGATGTTACCTATAGTGTCAGGTGTGATGTCACCTGTAGTGTCAGGTGTGATGTTACCTGTAGTGTCAGGTGGGATGTTATCTGTAGTGTCAGGTGTGATGTTACCTATAGTGTCAGGTGTGATGTTACCTGTAGTGTCAGATGTTATGTTACCTGTAGTGTCGTGTCAGGTGTGATGTTACCTGTAGTGTCAGGTGTGATGTTACCTGTAGTGTCAGGTGTGATGTTATCTGTAGTGTCAGGTGTGATGTTACCTATAGTGTCAGGTGTGATGTTACCTGTAGTGTTGTGTCAGGTGTAATGTTACCTTTAGTGTCAGGTGTTATGTTACCTGTAGTGTCAGGTGTAATGTTACCTGTAGTGTCAGGTGTGATGTTACCTGTAGTGTTAGGTGTGATGTTATCTGTAGTGTTAGGTGTGATGTTACCTTTAGTGTCAGGTGTGATGTTACCTTTAGAGTCAGGTGTTATGTTACTTGTAGTGTCAGGTGTGATGTTAGTGTCAGGTGGTATGTTACCTGTAGTGTTAGGTGTGATGTTACCTGTAGTATCAGGTGTAATGTTACCTTTAGTGTCAGGGGTAATGTTACCTTTAGTGTCAGGGGTAATGTTACCTTTAGAGTCAGGTGTTATGTTTCCTGTAGTGTCAGGTGTAATGTTACCTGTAGTGTCAGGTGTGATGTTACCTTTAGTGTCAGGTGTGATGTTACCTGTAGTGTCAGGTGTCATGTTACCTTTAGTGTCAGGTGTAATGTTACCTTTAGAGTCAGGTGTTATGTTACCTGTAGTGTCAGGTGTGATGTTAGTGTCAGGTGTTATGTTACCTGTAGTGTTAGGTGTGATGTTACCTGTAGTGTCAGGTGTAATGTTACCTGTAGTGTCAGGTGTGATGTTTCCTGTAGTGTCAGGTGTGATGTTTCCTGTAGTGTCAGGTGTGATGTTTCCTGTAGTGTCAGGTGTGATGTTACCTGTAGTGGCAGGTGTGATGTTACCTGTAGTGTTAGGTGTGATGTTGCCTGTAGTGTCAAGTGTAATGTTACCTTTAGTGTCAGGTGTAATGTTACCTTTATTTTCAGGTGTAATGTTACCTTTAGTGTCGGGTGTTATGTTACCTTTAGTGTCAGGGGTGATGTTACCTTTAGTGTCAGGGGTGATGTTACCTTTAGTGTCAGGGGTGATGTTACCTGTAGTGTCAGGTGTGATGTTTCCTGTAGTGTCAGGTGTGATGTTACCTTTAGTGTCAGGTGTTATGTTACCTTTAGTGTCAGGTGTAATGTTACCTTTATTGTCAGGTGTAATGTTACCTTTAGTGTCGGGTGTTATGTTACCTTTAGTGTCAGGTGTTATGTTACCTTTAGTGTCAGGTGTTATGTTACCTTTAGTGTCAGATGTTATGTTACCTTTAGTGTCAGGTGTGATGTTACCTTTAGTGTCAGGTTTGATGTTACCTGTAGTGTCACGTGTTATGTTACTTGTAGTGTTAGGTGTGATGTTACATGTAGTGTCAGGTGTTATGTTACATGTAGTGTCAGATGTTATGTTACCTTTAGTGTTAGGTGTGATGTTACCTGTAGTGTCAGGTGTAATGTTACCTGTAGTGTCAGGGGTGATGTTACCTGTAGTGTTAGGTGTGATGTTACTTTTAGTGTCAGGTGTGATGTTACCTGTAGTGTCAGGTGTTATGTTACCTGTAGTGTCAGGTGTAATGTTACCTGTAGTGTTAGGTGTGATGTTACTTTTAGTGTCAGGTGTGATGTTACCTTTAGTGTCAGGTGTTATGTTACCCGTAGTGTCAGGTGTGATGTTACCTTTAGTGTCAGGTTTTATGTTACCTGTAGTGTCAGGTGTGATTTTACCTTTAGTGTCAGGTGTTATGTTAACTGTAGTGTCAGGTGTTATGTTACCTGTAGTGTCAGGGGTAATGTTACCTGTAGTGTTAGGGGTGATGTTACTTTTAGTATCAGGTGTGATGTTACCTGTAGTGTTATGTGTGATGTTACCTGTAGTGTCAGGTGGGATGTTACCTGTAGTGTTAGGTGTGATGTTACCTGTAGTGTCAGGTGTGATGTTACCTGTAGTCTTAGGTGTGATGTTACTTTTAGTGTCAGGTATGATGTTACCTTTAGTGTCAGGTGTTATGTTACCTGTAGTGTCAGGTGTTATGTTACCTGTAGTGTCAGGTGTTATGTTACTTGTAGTATAAGATGACAGAACATCTAGATTAGGTGCCATGTTACCGATAGTGACCACTTATTCGTTCCAATGTATCATGCTTAAATGCTTGGGCTTGCTAAGTGTCTCCATTCCCTGTTCTGACTGACTACAGCTAGGGCCCACTGCCCAGGTCCCAGTAATTGCTGCTGGCTTTGTATCATATTGCAATTAGAGTAGAACCTGTTTTTCTGTTTCATGTTTGTTTGTTTATATTGTTAGGTATGTGATGGTATCCTGAATTCTGAATCATATATCACAACATGAAGTCTAATTGTTCCTTAATATACTATGAACCTAGCTTATAGTTTGTTCAAACGTACTCACCCATTAATTGATTTCTATACACTATATTTATAGGTCTTTAATGGGTTGACATATACAGATGATGAGTTGGTAGATATTCATGTATGGGATGTAAATTGCTTAATTATTGTTTAAATGAATAAAATTTCATGAAGTATCCTATTTAGCTAAAATAATCAGAGATAAACATTTTCAGCCTTTTTGACTTGACTATGATCCTTGATACTCCAGGAGTACGCTCACTTTCACTCACTGCACCCCTGGAATATGTCATAGCAAAATTGAAGACACACGGCTAGCTATTTGATTGGTCTCAGGTAAAAAAAAAATGAACGATAAAAAGCTTATTCCTGTCCTTTGAAGAATATAAAGGAGCAACATCCGACTTCAAAGCCAATCAATTTTACCGCTTCTCGGCTGCGAGATTCTTTTGGTTTACATCAAAGGATAAAACTAGTCTTCTTGTCTCATCCACAAGGTGGCGCACACTGAGCCTTCAATTTTGTCATGACAAATTCAGGGGTGCAGAGAGCGAAAATGAGTACAACCCCTCGACTATCGAGGATGGACTTTACTATGATGTTCGACCTTTTTTCCATAAGCAGGTTTTCATCCCTAAATCTCTAAATTGCTTTACAATACATAGGTATAAATTCATACAATCACAACAATATCAGGACGTCTAAGGAGCTGCTTTATCAGGTGCCAACTACTGGTTCTAAGCCACTTGGCTAATATATTCACATGTGTGCCTGCATGTCTGCTGGAGATATTGGTGTTGTGTATTTACAATATGTGTCAATTCACAGTTACAGCACAAAACTGTATATCTGTACCTGTATATCTGTACCTGTGTACTTTCTGTACATGTGTACTATCTCTGTACCTGTGTACTATCTCTGTACCTGTGTACTACCTGTATATCTGTATCTGTGTACTACCTGTATATCTGTACCTGTGTACTACCTGTATATCTGTACCTGTGTACTTTCTGTACCTGTGTACTATCTCTGTACCTGTGTACTATCTCTGTACCTGTGTATTATCTCTGTACCTGTGTACTACCTGTGTACTACCTGTATATCTGTACCTGTGTACTATCTCTGTACCTGTGTACTATCTCTGTACCTGTGTACTATATCTGTACCTGTGTACTATCTCTGTACCTGATACTTTGATCACTTCTGACCTCTCCTTGTAAAGCTTTGTGTGAGGATAAAGTACAATGAATTATCGAAGCCTGATGTGTCATTTCTTTGAAAGATTTATTTCACTTTCTTTTGACAGAAAAAATCATTGTCTTTTTACATATGTTTATATACAATTCAATGTATCTAATGTAAATATGTAGGATGGAATAGATACTCAGCACTGTATGTTGACTTTATTCCAAGTTGTTGTCGTTACTACTGGGTGTACTGTACTTTGCTGTATTCTGTGGTGATAAATCAAACATTTTTTTCTGACTTTGTGACTTGTCAATGTTTTGCAGACTTGAACTTCCATCGGGAGCCGAGTTCCTATACCCATGCCCCGGCAGTACAGACGCGTACTCACAGTAAATATATCTCTATGCAGACCTACCAGAACAACGCCGATGTCATTCAGTCCCCAGGGTATTCCTCCCACCAGCGGGGCGGCCCGGGGGGCGGGGCAGGATATTCTCAGCAGGATAACTGGTGAGTACTGGCAGCTTCTCAACTCAGTATTGTATATGTTGAGGGATATACAAACTCAGTATTGTGTATGTCAAGGGATATACAAACTCAGTATTGTGTATGTTGAGGGATATACAAACTCAGTATTGTGTATGTTGAGGGATATACAAACTCAGTATTGTGTATGTTGAGGGATATACAAACTCAGTAATGTGTATGTTGAGGGATATACAAACTCTGTATTGTGTATGTCGAGGGATATACAAACTCAATATTGTTTATGTCAAGGGATATACAAACTCA